TTGATAAAAAGTGTAGCAAAACAAATGTTAGTGAATAACTGTAAATAGCATCAGAAAGCAATCTTGGGGAATCGTGGATCTCCAACAAGGACCATTCCACAGTTTTCTGATGTTTATCGCGATAAACACTCGTGCCACAGTACAGCTCGTCCTTGAGATTTGCACACCACAACTGTTAAGAAAGCTTTTAATGGGCGAATTTGTTTGTCATGCTGTGACAACTGACTTGAATAATAAAAATTGGTCTTTTGCTATCTGTTGCTTTTTACCCGTTACCTGAAAAACTCGTACTCAGTAAAACCGGTACCTTAGATCCCTTGTCTGACGCCGAACCCGGCCTTCCCGCACTGATGTAAGACAAGATCTTACATCAGCCAGAGGTCGAGAGTTCATCCTAATTATGCCACTTATATAAGTCAAAGGTTACCTTGACCTGACGGAGCAAGACGGATTAACGCAAGACGAAGCTGTCAGCAGGGTATCGTGGGTGATTCATCCACTGAAGTGGCGTGGTTAGGAGGGGAGCCATCTTGGGGAATGCTGCATCCCCAACATTTTAGCATACCTTGATCCGGCCTTTTAACAAAGACTATGGCCCGAATTACAACGCATTTCATTTGATCAACATCGGTAATGACCACTTAAAAGTGAAGAAAACCCAAGCTGGGCAGATCTCTAAGTTGTACAACACTGAAAATTGGCATAACCGACACCAAAGTTTTGTTCCGCGGCCAGGTGTGTCAATTTTGTCAAATACAGCCTCAAGGCAACAAAACTAGAACACCAAATTGGCTGCAACCGCCAACGACGTGTCTGGGATAAATTTGTGGCGTTTTCGGGCGACCTGAGCCACTCCACTGCACTGATTTGCATTAAACACTAAGTATCCAACACACCACCAAATTAAGTCGGGAAAGACTCATAAAGACCGCCAGACAGGCACACGCACATGGCATGCAAATAACACGACAGACCGCGGTAACTGCGTTGTAGAGCCATAACAACAGAATAAAAAGTACCGCAAGTTGATAAAATTCTTCTATTTTTTCTTTAAAAAAAGGTACTTAAAGTAGAGTGATGAAACTAAGGCTAAAAAATCTCATCTGGTCGGAAAAAATGTTTGGAAGTGGGGGCGTGGGACTGAGGTAGAGGTCAGTGTTAAGCCACCGGCTTTGTCAATGCCCTTGAAGTATTCCTACGGGAGATAAGACTGCACGTCTTCTCGTACACAGTGAACCTGCAGCCCATTGAGAGACAGGCCTTGAGGATGGACGGCTGCAGGCCCTTGAAAATGCCCTTGAGGCCCTCGTGTTTCCACGTCTTGACGATGCAGTCTCGTAGACCTTGAACAACGAGGGGACGGCCGAAGGTGCTGCGTGCCTCTTCAAAGCCCTAGGGAGTTGAAGAAGTGCGAGAGAGGGATCGGTTAAAAGAAGAGACGTCAACCGAGTACAGAATGATCGGATCATTAATCGCCGCTTCCTACGGGTCAAATCGACTCGTTCTTTAAGCCGGATGTTTGCAGGAGGAATGCACGGCCATGCACCACGGATAAAACATGAGAAAAAAACGCGCGCCAGTTTTGCGTGCTGAAGCCTCAAAAACAGCCGATAAGGGAGTGGAAAACGAAAACGTTTGAGGAAATGAACAATTCAAAATACACTGGTGGCAGCAGCAACAGCAGCAGCAGAACCACCATTTCAAGGACAGCACCAAACAATGCCAAACTGAACATGGCGGAAAAATCAATACATTGAAACCGATATTCTGAAGAACAGTTATTTTCCATTTCAACAACACCGTTTATTCGACTACTAAAACAGTTTGCATATGCAATTTATGAGCAAATTAAGGTTAAACTGTTATGTTATAAATAAATGGCCCCCTCGCAATGAGATGGCTGCTTTAGTTCCGGTATTTCAGATGTAGCTGTCGATAAACCAGACTGAAAAAGCCATGGAGATTTGAACACCGCGACGATCGGAAACATCATCGTTGTAATTAAATGCTAGATTTGTTCCAAGGTATAAGCTAAACCAGAAACCGACTCAAACGAAACAGCATCACAAATTGGTTGAAGACAGACGTAGCAAGCGCCAATAATTGTACTTGATCTTAGATGTATTCTTTTTTTGTATTGGGTTGCAAGGCACTTCAGGGGTGCGTCTAACTTTCCACGTCGTGTAGAAAATAAGATGGGGGTGAAAAGTTATCTCTGGTCGCTGACATCAAAAGACGGCCATTAAACATGCCAGTCACGAAAGGAGGACTCCACTTCCCCTTTTTACCGCATAGCGAGGGAACGACTAGGTCGTTCCAATGTCCGCGAAATTTAAAAAAGCCTCCGGTAGATTTTTCTCTGCATTCAACAGGTCATCCTTGACCTGGGTGTCAGTAAAATCACTTTCGGAACTCGGGACTAAAATCTAACGGAAACAGTCCACGTGTCGCGGAATGGAAAGAACATTTAAGTAAACAATCAGATGCGCAAAAATCGATCACACCTACACCCAGTAATACCTCTTGGAAATTAATTAATTCAATGGCAAAAAGGACACTGCAAATTAATTAGGCATATGTTTACTCTCCGCCATATTGACACAGGTTTTTTTCAAGTTTACATTATGCAGCCTTAGAGGTGACTTGGTGTGCAGTTGGGCCGACACGCCGTCACCTGATGTTCGGCATACCACGAGCCTCGCAGCACACGAGGTCTAGAACATTGTCAGCTACGGGAAGGACCCAGGTCCATTACTACCGATTTTGCCAGTCCTCTCAATTTGCCTGCCATCTTATTGAACGCTTAAGCGTACTTCTACGAACGAGAAAGTCCACGCTTTGTGGGTTCGCTGTGATATCGATGAACGCCACCTCAACTCCAAAAATGTCAGATAAAGATCTTTGGGTTTTTAGCGCAGATAATTTCCATTAGTTTTGAACAGAATTCCAAAGAATAATACATTAGGTGGTTTCTCGATTTTTCTCTGTCGGAAAATATAAACATACTAAAGTAGCTCGTGTTTCGAAGGTGCACTCTGCGCATGAAAAAGTACAGTTGTGTCTAAAGGACAATTTGGGTTTCACGATGGAATGTTACGCCATAATTCTCGATCCTAGGCGCGTTGCCACGAGAAACGCATGCACTTCCCCAACTCTTTTGACGGAAAGCCTTTTCGCGGGATATTTTAAGAGGTGATAGAGCTCTCTCACTCATCTTAAGTATTCTACCAAAGAGTTGGTAACTGCGAAAAAGAATTTCGTACTTCGATTCGCGAAAAAGGTTCAAATATTCTAATTCTTAAAAAAAATGTGATTCAGTTACGAGAAGGAGACGCCCAGAAAACACATCAAATCATTCCAGACAAATGATTGATGCGTTGGTTAAGATAATGAGTGACCAGTGGTTACAACAAACACCCAATGAGTCTATAGAGAAACGGTTCAAAAGTAGGTAGTGAAAAGCACAACGTGAGGCGACTTTGTGCTAGACCTTGAAACACCGTACGGAAGTTGAATCAAAATTTGTGGGGTAAATGGGGCCGTGTGAAGTGGTCTGAGGCAACCGCTACCAGCAAGAGACCAAAGCAATCAGAGGCTTTAACCTAGAAAGTAATGAATCAAGACCTACAACTGGACATGAATCACTCTTAACACCCCAAGGTAGAGCTTGGCATGCACTGAATTTAAAAAAAAATCTCTAGTCAAACGACCGTGAAATTGACAACAAGATGAAGGGAATGACATTGTAATGTGGCGGAATACGCATTTCAGCAATAGCATGGCCTTTGTAAGCTGACTAGCTAACCCACGGAAGCGAACCGCAAACACGGTAACTTTGTATTAAAAACGCATCGCGACAAACGATTCTACAGGTGCTTCCCATTATGCCCAGTAGGCATACTTACATTGGAATTGATCTCATAGCTTCAACATCAACATTGCAATGGCAGGCATTGTGGTAAAATAGTTATTTCCTGGGGAGCGACTTACTTGAACTTGGAGACGCTTCTTCGCAACATCCATTGGGTAAACAAGACATTTTGTGATCATCCCAGACAACCCACCGGCAAAGGAACTTTGGAGAACGCCTGCAAGTCGCAAAGCATGTTACTGGAATTAGCATTTGACGAAACACGCACTAAAGTATTTGTTTAAGGGGCTAGCTAAGACTCTTCCAACAATTTACAGATCAGTTAAAAAATATGATAATACGAAAAAGAATCACCTTAATTCGCATTTACCTACTGAACCCCAAAATGTAACCGATAAACGAAAGTCGAACCTGTCACCAGGGGATAGAATGACACTTATCTTTGTGACAATTCACAAAAAGTTATGGCTTTGATGTTTAGACGGAACATGCAAATTGGGACACGAAAACTGATTACATAGTCAGGCGACTTACAAGTAAGTATACTAATGACTGTGTTATCAACCAGATATGATTTGTGCAAGTGTGTTTTAGTGCAAGTGCACGCGACGACTTTGGTCTTTTTAATCGAACAATAATGAGATCAAACATCAATTTCTCAAATCCCTCGGAATCAAACGGTTACACCAAACACTTCATTAACTTATGGTACTCTACTTATCACTTGAGTAGAAAAGGGAAACCAATTTGGACGCGCTCATTTGGCACATAATCCAACTTCTACTTTGCAGTCTTCAAGAAATAACGCAGCCACAAAAAATTATCGAAATAAGAGAGGAATAAATAGATTTTGCGACATTTACGCAAATATCTGACGGGGAATCACAAGTCATGTACCTGAATCTGTACGCAGCCAATGTGCCTATGGACTTGCCCTTATCAGAGAGAATTAATTTACTCCCAAAAATACATATCAGCTAACTAGGTGCAAGGGACCGTAAGGGATTTATTAGTAAATTTAAATAAATCGCGCAAAATTAAAAAAAATGGACCTGCCTGTCTCAGAAGGGTCAGAGGGAGGGCGTCCAGGAATACGACTTTCACAGAGACTAATAATTTGGCATGTGAATTTGTAGATTGCAAAGGTCAGCCCTGTCTGAGGTGCTGTTAAAAGGAGGGAAGGGCTCAAACCACGAAAGAATCCACGAAATCCCTCCTTGGTTGCAATACTGACAACAGCTTCATGAAGGTGGCTGAAGGTGAAATATGTATAAAACAGTAAAGTACCTTTACAATCAATATAAAAAAGGTATGGGATTTTTTGCAGTGAAAATAGAGTTTATAAATGGAGGCGAAAATACCTTCAGACAGAAACTGTTACCATTTAGTGGCTCAAATTTAAAAGAGGTTACACTACCCTGGGCTAAGGTAAACAACATAAGTAAGCATACTTGTATATCCGTGGCTCTCCCTGCGCAATAAAGCGCGTTTTCATTACATCCAACGGCTGTGTGCAAGTAGCCGAGGTTATGCCGGCGAGACATCCACAGGAAAAATTGATTGCGGGCGAAATCGTTGGATTACCTTCCATGTTGTCATCAAATATGTACAGTGCCTCAGCACACCACCTTGTATATAGTTCAAATGATGTGAATTGAATTCCAGAATATGTAACGGCAAGAAGCTGGGAGGAAAGATGTCCTTTCCAAAATGCACGAAGACCTTCCTCTCTGGCAATACATCGGATTGCTTGAAAAACGCTTCGGTACTTGGCAGACACTTGTAATGCAGTAATTGGTTCTACCTGCAGCTATGAACTCGAATTAATATGCAATTAGGATTTGTACCTGAAATCTAACTTTCACAACATCAAGCGGCTGTACACATGCTCGCCCAAAGAAACCACTGATACAACCAGCAACCAAGAAATCGGAGTTTGACAGGTTCTGGTGCCTCGATTTGTCAAACCCAACCATTTCCTACATGCAGCTCACTTCGACATGTGATATATCTTGAGCGATGTACACCAAATCAAAAAAACACACAGTTTTTCTGCTCGTTTATTGGCCAATACATGGCAGTGATAATTCGAGGGATGAACCAACAAAGGTCGAAAGCATCTCGGATTAGGTCAAGCTCAGCCAATCCTCCGTCTCAGTGCGTATGATAACCTACGATGGAGATCAGCATCCAAATAATGCGAAGGATCGATGAAACGCAATATTTAGAGTATAATACTGTTAAAACGTAGTAGTTGGCATTTAAGTTTAGCAGACATCTAAATTGGATCAAATCATTTAAGGATGAATAAAGCAATTGCACATTTGCATGTTCTAGAGAAGGTGGATGAAAAAATGGCGGTTACCCATAAAATAAAGTGTGATGATTTGGAAAGTCAACAGTTTAACCGATAGGAAAAACGACATTGCACTAAACACTTCTCATTTGCATCGAATCTTGGTATATTTAAATTACATTTTTGAATCATTTATAGCGTTTAACTTAAAAATCTAAATATTGGGGCATGGTTTGCGAACTAGAATTTAGAATAGTTTTTATTTTGTTTATAGTCTTAAAAAAGGTGTGGATATTGTTCAACCTCATCTATGACAACAAAAGTTGTGTTGTCGGATTGATAATTTATTGCCAAAATTATTGCATCCAAACCGCTCTTTCAATTAATATGATAGAGAATGGTATATTTTAGTTTTAGGCTGAAAACGCTTTGATCGATGAAGCAATTTTGAATGCAATCCAAATTTATACCGATTGATTGTTCACTTTGATGCCTCTGAACAAGTCCCAAATTTATTAGATCTCGGATTGATATTATCGACTGGCATCGTCATATTTAATCTATAACATTTTGGCAATTATTGCATGACTAAAAACGACGTGATAAAGTAGCTCTGAAAACACGTAGGTGTATTAAATTGTGACTGCTAGATCCGACGCAATTTAATAGCTAGCATTTTACCGAAAGGTACAAGCAATAAAACTTACAGGGCAAAGTACAAATTTACATCTTTTGAAAAAAATATTAAACCGCATTCACTCTCAAATAAGTAGTGAGTTTCTGGTTATTGTTTCTCTTTGACTTGATAATTAAGTAACAGAGCATTTGCATTGTCGGAAGTTTTGCAACGTTATGCTTAACACAGGTGCAATAATTCATTCTAAAACACGGCTATTTTGTCTAACGTAAAACACTAATAACTTCCGGCTACTTTTGAAATGCTGATCCACATTAATTTGGCTGCAGAATTTTGACAACGATAAATGGTTCCCACCACTCTCTTTATTGCACTTCAGACTAGAGCAGAAAAATTGATTGTCAGCCGACTAATTGCAATTCCTCTTCAGTAAAACTGGCACTTTGAGAGATTTACTTATTAAGTGATTGATATGGCCCTAGTAAAATCTTGCCAAATCACACCTAGTTATTTGGATGGCTCTCAAATTCACATTACAACAGTTCTCTTGACCTAATAAGGCATAGCGATTTCCACTTGTTGATTCAGAGCGTTGATCTAACGTTGTATTTTAAATAAGATTGCTTCGATACACACTCTATACATGCATCCAGTGATTGTACACTCCACGTTCCGTTCGGGCCAAATTATTTCGGGCAAAAAACCCCCCGGGCACGGCAACACATTTACTCGATATATTGACGAATTGCGTTAGCCTATTTCAATGTCACATCCTGGCATAGTTTGAAGCTATTCTCATAAGTCCTTCATTTAATTAAGATATACAAGGAGCATCTTTGCGAAACACAGAGTAGTGGACCCGAATACGAACCAGGGAGGCAACATTTCCCCGTCAAATAAGATCCTGCCTTTGAATGCTCGCCACGTAACTCATCTCGCTTCCACAAGTCATTAATTACCCACATCTTCCAAACAACCTGCCACTACAGGATCAAAAAAAAGGTTTTAACTTCTAGTGAAACCATGTGGATAGTGTTTCAGTAGCCCGCATCCGTGACCATATGAGAGGAGCCTATCAGGAAGAAGACACACGTAAAGGGAACATTCAGGCAAAGCTGAACTCACGAAAATAATGATTTTAGAAATTAGAATTATTTTGAGAAATTAAAAATAAAAAAATACTTGTGGCAATCCAATATTACGCCTTTTGGGTAGAAAACAATCGTTTCCAAAAAATCCTCAGAAGAATAGCACCAAATGTGATAAACAGGCCAACGAAGCCAACTGCGTTGATGGGGTGTCCGAATATCAGACACGACGCTAGGATGGACAGGCACTGCCGGATTGTCATAATGATCGTGAAAGTGACAGCGCCAAACTCAGCTATCGTGAGGAAAATCAGGATCTGTCCGAACCCCGAGCAGACGGCAGATCCGCCGACGTCAACGACGAATGTTGGATGGGCCAGTGCAAACTGAAGCGACGCTGCCAGTGTACGATTGATCAACAGCGGCGCCACGGTGAAGACCACAGCCCACCCAGAAACACCACGCATCATCTATAACAGAAAAACACAGTTACTTAATTATCATAAGTAGTGTTGTGTTAACGGGCAGCGAGAGTACATGAAGCGGCGACATATTGTAGGTGCGGAATAGATTGTCTTGGGACGTTGACGTGTAGGAATCCAGTGCAATGTAGCCGCAGAGGAGGAGCAGGCCACTGAGTGAGCTGGTTGTAACCGCACTGCTTCGGTTGGGAGGGGATGATAGAATAAATGTACTCACACCAACGCCGATTAGACCTAAAGCCAACAAGCAAGATCCGCGTTAGGATGTGCTTTTGTGCGCTTTAAATTGAAATGGGACAATGACATAAATGAAGAGCATCGTCAAAAGGAGGGGAGATTTGATACTACTTCAAACCCAATATAAGTAGCAAAGTCTGCAGTCATGAGAAAGTACCGTTTATATGACGAACGAAAAAGAGCATGGCTTTCGGAGGTGAACGAGAACAACTCACCGGTAGTGATGTACTCAAATGCCTTGTAGGATCGCCCGTAGAGACATCGGCCCATCAACATGACAGGAATCGTCTTGCATGACTTTGATATCACCTGAGCAAATTAAAAAAACTTTTTTATAAGAGGATGATGTGTAAATAGCACCTACATTGAATTTATATTGTCAATACAACAATAGAGTAAATAGTAAACATACACAACAAATACAGTCGCCTACCACTGTTGGAGGCTTTGAATAGTGCTCCAACACAACCAGTGCAGTAAAACAAAGGGTTATACGGACAGAACATGACAGATATTACAGTAGGTTTGCTAACCATCCATCAAAGCAGAACACTGCAGCCTTCACCTTGTCCAACCTAGACTGGAAGCCGGTTTTGCTTCACCTGGATTACTCCAAAGGTAGTCGACGACGCAACAACCAATGGAACCAGGACAGGGGAGGAATTGTGTGGACTGCGAAACATGGCATCAACTCACTTGGACGGGGAAGGTGATGAAGAGAAGGGCCTCGTACTGGCACCAGCTGGAGAGAATGTTGCTCAAGGCGGGGCTGGCGTAGCCGGAGAGTGGGGCGATGTCGGTGACGGCGTCGGCCGAGTGCGAGCGCTTTCCACAACCGTGTATTAAGAAGATGCAGGTTGAGGAGACGAAAAGAGCACCTAGTCGGTTGCAGAAGACGAGGAATTGCGGGTCGGCGAAGCACTCTCCGCCGTAATCCTTGGTCATGAGCTTCTCCTAAAACCCCCGATAACAAACGCAAGTGTTCATTCGCCGTAGGGCAGGAAAATGTGGCCCACGAGTAGTAAACTAGAGTTAGTGTGCGACAGTCAACCAATCAAACGACTAGGTAAATAACTGTCATGAACCGTTCAAGGGCATTCCGTCAACACGGAGATTGATTGCCAACACGTTTATGTTAGTGTAACTAGCCGAGAAAGCTGTATTAATTGACATAAACTTGATCTCAATTAAATTAACCAATGAAAATCTCGGGCATCGAAAAGGCTGATAGCAAAGCGAAAATAAGGACCATTTGGAGAGGAACTTGAACACAGCATTTAGTTGATTAAACTCTGGAACATTTTCGTACCTCAGGATTTCTGGAAAATGCGAAAGAAGTAATCAATAGAATAAGGTAGCAAAACACACACTGCTGAATACTCCACCAAACAACCAATCAAACGGTTAGGTAAATAACTGTAATGGACCATTCAAGCGCATTCCGTCAACACACGCAGATGATCCAAGATTTTTTCAACAGGGATCGGTCGCCAACACAAATGAGTGGTGCTGGAATTGTGAAGAAAAATGATGCATACACAGTTAACGGACTCACAGCAACAAACAAAAAAAAACGTTTATAATAGTGAACTTTATCGGAAACTTGTGTAACTAGCCGAGAAATGTGTATTAATTGGAATAAACTTGAACTCAATTAATTGAATTAATTTAACCAATGAAAATCATGGGCACCGACAAGGCTGATTGCAATGCGAAAATAAGGACCAATTGGAGAGGAACTTGAACACAGCATTTAATTGATTAAACTCTGGAACATTTTTGTACCTCAGGATTTCTGGAAAATGCGAAAGAAGTAATCAATAGAATAAGGTAGCAAAACACACATTGCTGAACAATGCACCAACAGAGCAGTGCCATTGAAACTAGTATTCAAGACCAGTGTGAATGTACAACCGGACGTGTCATTTGTGACTGCTGAATCCCCTTAACGTCGTTGTGGACGAGTCTGGAGACTGACATCGCCGAATTCGCGCAATGACCACACGAAAACACACATGGCCACTTAAGTACGAGAGGATGCAGAGGTTAACATCGATTTAAACAACCCGTCGGAATTCTTGATTTAACGAAACGGTTTAAAATTAGTCACCGACGTTACTATGTCACAGTCGTGATTCACTGCAACAAATTCCAGTTAATTTAACTTTGGCTTGTGCAAGTGTTTGTCGAGTTACATCGGGGGAACAGTGGGAAGAATACGAAGGCATCAGGCCAACTGGTTTCTGCCACACTCTTAGCGACAGTAGGGAAGGGGATGGTGACGAGTTGTAGCTTCAACAAAACGGACAAAATGTAGCCCGACACTGGTGCAATTGAATGATAGCTGGAGGCCGTGGGGGTTCCAAGACGCCCCCAGCATTAGGAGGAGTTTCGAGATGGTGTCCCACCCAAATAACCACCCAAACTGAGGCCACAGGGTTCTTGCCTAAAGTGCCTGCACGTGAACTTTGATAAAGACCTGTTGCCATGGCGGCGCACACCCTAGTGCTCTGAGTAAATAAAACAAGCAATTTGCATGATTAAGTGGCATCTGGCAATAGTGCAACGCGCCCAGTACAGAGCCACTTTACGGTCATACGATGGGCAGACGTGTTAGTGAATTAATGGTCCCATTTATTTGACCTTAAAAACGTTTGTGCATGTTAAATATAAAGAGAAATCGGACCTCGTCAGTACGAATAACCAATCGCCAACTAGAATTCTACCTGCACAAACCACAAGCCTGTAGTAGCCAATCAGGAAAGGGTTCAGTTCCAATATGATACTCACCAGGTAAGTTTCACATCGAATCCCAACTCAGATGTCCAAGATACTTTCGTAATCAACACAAGGAGGGACTTCTGAATCTCCAGTTGCCTAGGCAACGCTAAGGCCATGGTAAAATTAGACAGTTCCTTCAAATCTAAGGGTTTTCGAAATAGCGTGCATTAATGAATGCGCATAGTGCATTAAATTGTGATTAACGAAAGGCGACCCAGTCGTGGTGCGTGGGTGTGATTAAGTGTTTGAGGTCAGACGGTCCACGACAAATAAGGTTGCCTTTAAGAGAGCAAAAGAAAAGCGAAGGCAGATGTGGATATCACTAGGCCGAGGTTTTGGCGACAGCTGATCCAAACTAAATACAGCACCACAGACTCGTGCAAGATATAACCACGCACCAATTCCACACCAAAATGAAGTCGAAACGGTAGTTATGAGGTTGCTGATATTAGAGTGAGACGTCACAATTCTAAAGTCCTTTGTGATTTGAAAGGTGTTTAAACACACTGACTGACTACGAAATGTTCTCGATCGATCGGGAGGCACCAATTGTTCCAAAATTGATTCGATTCCCAGCGGGTCTGTACAAGCACATTTAAACCCGGTTCTTAAAAGACAGGGGTACTGGTCTGGCCACGCGCCCGTGTATTGGTTTCGTACGCCCGAGGACAGCGTCTGTCGCCACCACAACGCGAATTGACTGAACGCAAACGATTGTAACCGTTTCAAGGAGTTCGATCATTCTGATCTGCGGCGTGGGTTGTGCACAAGAGCGTTACATCCCAATTTGCGTTGTGGTGAAGCGTGTCAAGTCACCTTGAGAGAGGTGGGGGTGGGCAACCAGGGGTGGGTCTGCACGGTCGGCCAATGGAGACGGCGCCGGAACGCCATCACGTGGCCATTTTGGCCTCCTTAATGCCAATTCGGTGAGGTCTGGTGCAGACTATGCGAGTTAGCGGTATGCTAGGGAAATTCAACTTCAACAACATTCGCGGGCTCATCGGGAACTTGGAATAAGCAACCCTACCTACCGATTCTACCAGGATGACCCAATCAGCTTGTCTGATGGAAGTATCGGGCTAAAAAACAAAATCTGTGCGCAAAAAGCTTGAGAAAGGCTGGGTTGACCATCAAAAATTGACATAGTCAATTGTGAAAATCGGAGCACTCGAAATTACTAAACTCTAACTGGCTCCGAGAAAAATGCCTGGATTATTTTAATAATTCCATTTAGAAAAATCGTTTTATGCTTTTTACGACCAGAGTGCAAACGACAAAATCAGGTTTGTGAGCAATTCAGAACACTAAAAGAAAACTCAAACGGTTAGCTTTCACGGATAGTTTAGAAGGACCTGATGAATATTATTCAAGGGAATGTCGAGACTTGAAGACGCTTTACCGAGTGATACACCGAGGCCAGAGCTGCCGGAAATATAATAGAAGTGGTATAAACCAATCAAATCTTGGCCTAGTTTTGGAAGAACATGCTGTGGAAGATGAAGCGAAAAGGACTCCACCTCAGTCGGGTCGGTATTTGGCGGAAGTTTGTGATGCAAAGAGCATTGTCCCCTGGGGCACCGGAGCTCTTTCAGATCGAATCTAACCTGACGAGCGTAAACAGTAGATCAGGCCAAAATCCGAGCAAGTTGAGTTCCTTGCACCAGTCGTGGTCTGCGAGAAGGGCTTCCGGTGTAACGCGGACAACCTGGTTTTAAATAGGAGTGAGTCGATTCTTGAAAAAATCAGGACACATCAGGATGGCACAAGTGAGTAGTAGAGTAATATGGTGGTAAAAGTGGGAGATAACAGGGAGTGATACAGGGAGGGAACAGGAGCGGGATTTCGGTCTACAGAGTTTGAAGACCTTTCAGGACGTCGAAAAGGATGCCATGTCTGTTTCCACGCCAACATTTTTTTCAAAATTAGGAACGGATAAAGTGGCATGGTCAACTTACTTGTAGAATGCCCCACATGACATAGACCAGATTCAGACCAACTGCACATCCGAAAAGGGTCAACCAACGGTGCTTCTTTATGAAAGCCGCCGCGGCATCAGAGAAGCGAGCAAGAACCGGTTTCGGCCTTGGGGCAGGTTGATCGAAAGGGAGACAGTCGTCGGGCAGGTGTTTGAGAAAACACAAAGTAAGGTAACGCCGACACCGCGAGGCTAAAACGCCTAGTGAGGGAAAAAAGCAGTCACTTTAGATGCTTGGACTCCGAGGGTTGCCTGATCGGGCGGCATACCTGTGTCGCATTCCCACCTCTTTAACAGGGAAGGTGCTAACCGTTGAAGCGCCCAAATTGGAAGGTAGATGAGACCGTAGAGCAACAGATTAGTCGCCAGCCGCTCAAACCAGAGGCCATTGAAGACGACGGATTGGACGTGAGAATAGAAGCTGAGCTCCACCAAGCCGGCACAAACAATGTACACGACCAGAAACACGCAAAATCTGGGAAGAAAGAATGCGGAGTCAGGGCACAGAATGCAATGTTAGAGGGAGGTTGCGATTCCGTGCGCTCGTAAACATTTGCGTCTTAACGAAGTATACTTTTTTTTACAGAGTGTCTGTTCTTAGACACCAAGACCGGATCGGCACAAGAGAACGATCATTCGTTTCGCTTTAATCCTCGATAATGCAGACATACGAAGAAATTAATAAACAGACGTGAGAGCCGCAATGAATACGAAAGCATTAAAAATTGGATTTGTGGCTATCGAGAACTACAAACATTGATTTTTCAGGGAGTTCACATGAAAACCAGTTATTTGAGCACCAAAACCGTGCCAGTACACGCCTAATAAGAATGCTGTCACATGCTTTGGGCAGTTCTGAGATAACCAGGATAATTGAGGTTCCATGACCCACAGTTACCACAGTTCACTGCGACACGAATATTGAGCTTGCAATGCTTTTAAGGAAGCTTAAACAATTAGGCGGCCATCTGAACCAAAGAACGAAAGAAGGGCTATTTTAACTAGAAACTTTGTAGAATGCTTTGCGTCGAATCGACGGGGCATCTGCATTGTTAACGAAGTGGCGTTCGGGGATGTCAAAAAAGAAGGAAAATCCAAGCGTGTTGAGAATTCAATATCCCGTACTGTAAGTGTGGACAATGCGCCACGAATTTCGCACACGCCCAATGAGCAAAGTCGAGGTGTGCGACAACACAGTGCCGCTATTTCTACAAATGCGTAATTCTGAAGTATCAAAATTCAACTACGCTTTCAAGTGATATGAATCGTCTTTCTGGAAATTACACAAAATCTGTATAATTGGCCATATTTTACGCGAGCGCAGCGTCCGAAATGTTTCCTCTAATTTCATTATTAAGAAAAAGTAGACTTGTTCACACAGATCCTCCTTAAAGCATGCCACATAGAACGCCCCACCCCGTCAATGCGAAATTGTGACGATTAAGCTGCTGGTTTTGTTCAATTATGAATTGTAACCCATTGGATTTGCATAGACTATTGGGTGTACCTTGTAACTGTCACACACAGACACACAATATGCGATGAATTCACATCTTAAAAATGTCTGATTATTGGCTTAGAGGAGCTGGTTTTAGACCCAGGTAATGTGTTTACGACACAGGTCGTCATGTCCTCCTGTTCTATGTAGGTATAGAAAAAAAACACGCCGTAGTGAATGTAAAGTAGAGGGCGCAAACGTTAGACAACGACAGATTTGGCCGGCAGGCTTTGTCCTGCCCAACAGTTTTACCGGACCCAAAGATGAGAAATCATCATTATACCAGGAACTTTGATGGATTTAAATGGCCAAGCTATCCAATCGAAAGTTTTATAAAATAGCTATTTAACTAGACCTCGGCCAACTGGAGCCCTATGTTATCCCTTTTACTGAAAAAAATATAGTTCGGGGAATTTCGCTATTGGTTTAGAGGTAGAGTCAACAACAGCGGAATTGCATACCTAACAGGTCCAAGAAATTCCACTAACGAATCGAGAATCGGAGGTATGTCCTGATGCTCGTACAACGAGAGGGACATCGGCGGCTACGACTTCTACAAATAGAAGAGGACATGTGAGCATTGTTACATCAGCTTGCAAACGGCAATTTCAAAGAAAGGACACTGGCATGATCGTACACGATCAAATTGAAAGTTAGCTTGAAATGCTTAGTTCATAGGTTAGCGACGTTCGAAAGCATGCGAAAAGCAAACATGCAACCATAAGTTTGAAAAGATTCTGCAGTTTTGGAACATTAAAAACCTTGGGCAAAAAGTTGTTGTGGGCTCCGGCATGTTATCTCAAACCACGCCGAGGCCACTGAATTAACTCTGGTCCGATTACGCTTCCCTGATATCCGTCTAATTAACGTCAGCTTCAGATTTTGACCCACCTAGGAAGAAATGACATTTTTTAAAACTTCCAGCCTCGTTCACATCACCCCTCTACAGAAAAGTGAACAAAGTGCTTGGTTGCCCTGTGCAAAACAAGTGGATTGTTGTTGTGAAATTGTTGTGGGCCCCATCATATGGTCTTCAACCACGCCGGGGCCACTGAGTTAACACTGGACCGATTACCCTTCCCTGATACCAGAGATGAAGAAAAAGACCAGAGAGGACGTGGACACAATCGTTTACTTCAGAGCTCAACCAAGTTGGTGTCATTTTGTTGTGGGTGGCGTTTACGCGTGTTTATTTATACCTCAGATGTGTGTCATAGATGGGCTAACATCGAGGCCCAGGTGTGAGGGGGAAGTTGGGGATCCACGCGACTTGCGACATATTGCGAAAAGAGGGACCCTGTGTCGGAGGCTGGAGTGGTTGGATTAACAAGTATGAATCAACACAATTCACAACAAAGTATTCTTCTGACCCGAAAATCAAAAATTGATAATTCCAACGACAAATTTACACTGTAATCCCTCCTCACTTAACAGAAACCCCACAAAGACGACAGCTGAATCTCCAGTGAATTATTGGGGAAACCAGAAAGTTTGAGAACTAATCGCCGAAACCAAAATTTTTTGCATATTGGACATCTAGGCAAACAACACGCATAAAAAGCTCCATGCAAAAATTGATCGATAATAAATTTTAAAGAATATGGAGCTCATCCTTAAGACCAGAGTGAAAAAGCATTGCTGTCGAACTGAGAAGGCTGCACAAGCTGAAACTTAAGGCGCAAGTAACTAAATCCATAAAAGGCTTAAAATTATGTACACTATTTGCCAGACTTCTTCCTATGTGTAAAATTTTCCGTGCGTAAAAGTTTCCGATGCCTCTAGTTAAAATATTTTCTTCAATATTCTACAGAAAAAACCATGATCAAAGAATCGGAATTTAATCGAGATATAAATGGCTACATAAACTACGTGCATCAAACCTGTTTACATCAGCATACTACATTACAAAATTGCTTCATAGGATGACTTAACTACTTCCAACGATCACCGCGTGAATTGGACAACATAATAATAAGTATTTATTCATTACGTAAGTCGGGCATGATTGCAAACACCATACAAACGTGGGCTCATTATAAAACAAGGTAATGAATTTGGACATGTCGCACAATACAGGCAAAAATTTTCTCAACGAACAAGAAATTTCGTTGAGAAAATGCATTTAAACAGCATTAAGGAACTGTAACAGTAGTCATTTTTACTGTAAATGGTCGGTCTTTGTGATTTAAATAAAAATTGAAAGCGATAAACATCGCGTCCAAACTCAAACGACACTTACAACTAACAAAAAAGAAGTAAATCTGAAAACTCATTGAATAAACCAACTCGGGAAGGTCAAATTTGAGGATATTTGCACGTTTTAAACAAATAAGCATTAGGACTTTCTAATGATAAATAAATAATTAGCTCCGGTATCCTTTTTTCGTAGCACAGAACAATATAAATTTAGTTAATCTACATAGAAGACTGTTTAATCTTTCTAATTATAGCAGTAACAGTTCAAACAGGTGTAAAATGGCAATTCTAAAAAATTAACATTGTGCGCAAAATATGAGCATACAGTTGGCTTGTTTCCTAATAAATAATTTAGAGAAAATATCACGCGGCACTAAAATTTTGGAACTTCATAGTCTTCATATATGCTTAGATATTGATGCCGTCACCTTATTTACTTTTAGGGTTCAGCACATGCTGGTTGGTTAGCACTGTTTCTAAATCATGTGGTAAACTACCATAATTGTCTATAGAGGCTATTTGGATCTCTTAAATTGGAGTTGTACATTGTAAAATACTTAGCAACTTCAATCTAAGGAATTGGTGGGTTCACAATGTAATATCGTCGAATTTGAAATCTCACACTCAAGTCTATGGAAATGCGGATACACTAATCTGTCTTAAATTTGCTGTGCATTTTCACAAAGTCTCAGATACAGAGAATTATTTTTTCATAATAATAAAATATCAGGAAAATTGCCCGTACTTTAAGGTGTTACCTGTCCAAACACTACGTTTTCGACGCCATGTCTGAATAAACAGTGTACTACTTGACCATTTTTAACCGTTAGCAAGGAGTCATTTGTTTTCTTTATAGAATTAAAGTCTGTAAAATGCAAGAACGTTTATTTTGTACAACGAAACAAAAGACGCCGAAAATTAAATAACCGGAGAACCAAACTTCTGCGAAATTATAAATAAAGTGTGTCTTTAACATAATCCGAATATTTTCTCGGATCACCTAGTTGAACTGCAAATCTTTGTATCTGCTTAAAAGCGACACGATAGAAGTAGTGTAGGAGTTTGTAGTCCGCACAACACGGGGGCGCTCGGCTCTCTCAAAGTTGCCTTTTACGAGCTCGTAGTACTTGCCATCACACAGAGTGAGCGATTTTAATCGCCAGCATTTTAATCTAAAAAGGTAATTTAAAACTACGGATTAACAGAAATTATTAAGAGGACTTTCGTCTAAAAACGACATTGTTTTAGTGCTTACATGAAATTATATCAGTTAGTTGAACTTTTGTGCTAATTTCTAAACACTGGTCTTATGTCTGATAAGCTCACCTGAGTCTATCGATGAATTTACGACTCTTCTCGCTAAACCGCAGGGTTTCGGTGTCCCATTGAATTTCCAAGGCTGTCAAGTTGGGACAGTTCAGGGCAAACGCGTGGAGTATTTGATCCACGTGTACACGCGTGTTGTATTTGAAGAACCAGCCATCTGGTGAGCCCAGGACACAAATTCTAACAAGAAATTCAAAAAATTATGAATTGTTAATATGGGCAAAATTACAAACCTTTAATTTTCTATCGATTTATTCATTGTGCTTTCCATGCCTGTCTCATTGTGTTTGTCCTAACAAACTTCCACCTCACATCGGGGTTAACTATTGTTGAAAAGCTTCGGCCACCATTACAAAATTTCGATAGCAGCATCAATTTTTTCCTTGTTATGCTACTTCAAGTTTAAATTAACCGGTGTAGTAAAACAAGCTTGAAGTTTTTCGACAAAAAGCTCTGCTAACTTTAAAATTATTTGTTAAAAAACGATTAAACTACTCACTCTATATTGGGCAGAAAAGTAATTACTGTTGTCCAAAAGTACTCGGCCAGGGCAGGCTTGCCTTGGAGCATGAGTCCACGAAGTTGTGGTCCATAAGTTTGGATGAAATTCATGATTGCGGCCTCGCTCAGTGATGGCGTGAAACTGAGATCAAGAGCCATGAGGTCCTTGAACTTCTGAAGATCCACCAGGTGCTTCAGAACCTATAAAAGAGGTGTGGGCATCTTATTTCCGAGGTTTTAGCAAACGCATGTTGCTCTTTTTCCCTAGCCACATTACAAAATGTTTTACGGGGATGCTGGTTAATTCATTTTTCCTGTCTAATTTGCTTTCTAAAACAAGTTGCATTCCACACATTTGCCGTTTTTCCGTCTTATGAAATGTGGAGATGTAACCTGTTTCCTAGTTTGTTGCATCCTTATGAATAATCCCAGGTCCCTCTACAAACCTCACGAGCAGCTAAATATACAGATTAAAATATGGACCTTAATTTTTAAAAGTAATTCATCTCAGGCAACGTGTCATTCGTACCTTGTCATTGAAGAAATCTGTGTGTCCAGCTGCAAGGTACGTGAAGTTGGGGATGCGCGAAAGGAAGCTATCAAGGCACTCTGATGAGAGTTCAGTCGAGGTTATGTCGAGTTCCGTGAGCTGGGAGTTCTCCCAGGGCACTTTCATAATATATTCATCCTCAAGGCCTAAAAATGGGGACCAAATCTACTGTTTTCACACAAACTACTTACAAACGGCTTAAAAGTAGATCCTCTTAGTGGCTTCCATATTCGATTTTGTGCAAAAGTATATTAATTCCAATTAATAATGCGGAGATTTCCCGGTATTGGTTTACAATTTTAGACAAACTCATAGGTACTTAGACCCTACTAACGCCTCACGCCCCGAAACTCACGGAAGTGAATGTTAAAACTTGGATGTTTCCTTAAATCACGAGTTATTGGCCCCCAACTCGACATTCAAGTCTTTGGTGACTCCTACGCATCGACAATCGAAAATTTTGTAACACCCCAACACGTACTATTTCGTAAAATTTATCGAAATGAAGACGAGGATGCAGAACCTAGAAAATATGCACTTGGGTTATTCTCAAATCTGATATTCCAGTTAAGCATTACATGACGTGCTTTCCTCCTTGATAGGGGATTACTATCATATACGTGTATTTTACACCCCAGACAGCTCTTTTACTGGTATGTTCATTTTTTGAACCACTGACTTTAAGCCAACTTATAGGTGGTGCTTTCTTCACGTCCAAGAAGCCACCCACCTGCCAGACGCCTGATCTCACACTCTACTTAAAACTGTCAATCACGAATTACCACAATGGCAGAGCAGAAGGGTTTTGAGCTTCTTGCAGTTAGAAATGATCAGCGGGAAGGCGGCTCCCTTGACGTTGAGGCAGTAGTTGAGGGCGATGCACTCAAGCTGGAGGCAGTTCGTGGCCAACAACTCCACGTGACTGTCGTCAACAAAGCTGATTCCGTAGAGGTTGATCACTCGCAGATTCGGTGTGTGGGCGCGAATCTTGCTTATGTTAACCACCTGCAGAAGGAGGCATAATTGGTCGTCAGCAGACTGCAGAACAACAAACCTGCTTCGACCTATGGCCTGCTACCTGAATTTCGATTTGGAGCCATTGTCTAGTTATTCGTCTACTTTAAAAGGTTCTCTCAAACGTTACTAGGAGGTTTAAATAGTTTAAGTCCTACCAGAATGAAAATTCGAAATGCTCTGTGGATGCAATTGTACTGTTTGGGCAAGTGATTTCGCAGTCTTAAACATGGCAGATAATAAAACGGATGAAAATGAAGATTCTGAGTGGCCTTTGTGCTCACCTCGTAAATTTCCTCCTCCTCTTCGGCGGCTCGTTCAAACGTTCCTGGAAAAGCAGTCGAGATAAGGCAAATGAGTGTACTTTATACCCAAACCATCCAACTCCAGTAACTTAACACTTAGTGACTGCCCATTCGCCAATAATTATCCCATCTCAGCCCAATATTAGCGAACTCACTTTGCTCCCCGATGAACCAATTGGTTCCAACTCCGTGGCCGCTCCGATGACCCCCAATGTCTACCTTGGATTCTCTTGCACGCATTAATAAATTATCTATGTTCACATTTGTATCCTTGTTGTGTAAAAAACCCGTTGAAACTCCGCCTCTTTGTCCTCCTTCGTACACTCAGGGTCGCAGTGTGTATCACTGCGGTTAAAAAAAGACATAACCCACACCCATAGGGAAACCATCCCTCAGTCGGTTCTCTTTAGTGCCCAACATCGTGAATGGCTTGATTCCTGTCATACGAATTAATAGTTCGATCAAACCGTTGGCCCACCAATGAGATGGAGGACTTCGAGGGACGAGAGGCACGGGTAGATCTTCCGCATCAGACCCTCCATGAAGATGACGTCACTCAGGCAAATGCAGAGGTAAGAAAGAAGACCGGGGAAGGCCATCAGATCGTTGAAGTCGTGCAGCTGCATTGCGTTGCTGAAGTCGAGCGTCAAGTACCGCAGGTTCGTGCACTTGTTGCCGAGTTCCTCCAGGACCGGGATGGTAATCAGGTCGCTGGACAGCTCGAGGTAGCGCAGACCCTCCCCTGAACGCTGGTTGATGAGGTTGAGGAAGTCTTCGACTGTTGGAACCTCAAATCACGAGGGGAGGTAATCATAAAATTTGGTGTCTTGAGTCACTTTGGAATTCAGTCTTCTTATTGTCATGAACTTTGCACAGAATTTTGGTAACTGAGTACGCGTTTACGAATGTAACCGAAACACTCCCTGCTATTTCGATTTACCTGAAGCAAAATGCAGCCTTTAAATTTCCAAATTACTGTGAAATTTATCATGTTTTCAAAAATCCTAATTCGGACCACTTGAAATTACGGATACATCACCTGGTTATGGCCGCATGTGCCTACATCCAGTAACAAACGGCTGTGAATATCGTTAACTCACGATCCCCACTCGCCTTCCCTGTACCCGTACCCGTGTGTAGTCCTCCTGAATTCCCAAATGACTCTCTTTGTTATCACACTGCTGACATTGACTTATAAGTACCTATGACCCAACGCGAGTCGAGACAACTACCTTAGCAACCCCAAAACCGATTGCCTTTATTGTCTTCTTAGAATTCTCTGGGGTACCTCATTGAATATTCGTCATTAATAGACAAGAATTTTAGCCAGGAACAAGTTCATTGGGAATAATTTTTGTTGCAAAATGTCTAAATATCAGGCATGCAACTTGGCGCACAACTGTTAATGAGGTTCCGAGCTGTTCAGGTATAGAACTTCTGCCACTTTTGACAAATTAGGACCGGTTTCCGTAGGCGTTTTTGCTTAAATTGACCCAGAAAACAGTAACTTTCTCCAAATAAATTGGCTTCCACCAGTATCGTAAATTGTCAACGAATAAATACCGTTACTTTAAAGAATGAAAAGAAACCTTGTTAAGCCTCTTACCCAGTCTGGGATTGACCTACAGTAGTTGACTTTGGCTGCCAAACAATTTGATTTGATGCAGCACTTAGTTCCGATGTCATAAAATTGGTTTTAATTTCATGCACTTCATCAGATTGTGGATGATTGCAGTTCACATTGTTACAGATTTAAAGTTGACGTAACTTTCAGGTAGTTACGGGACAACCAATCGAGAAAAATGGCGAAATTAAACGACAGTGATTGACCGGACAAACATTTTATTGCAAAAATGTCCAAATATCAGGCACTCTACTTGGCGCATAACTGTTAAAGAGGTTTTGGGGTGCTTAGGCATCGAGCTTCTGCTACCTTTGACAAAATAGGACCGGTTTCCGTGGGCGTTTTTGTTTAAATTGATCCAGAAAACAGCAATCTTTTTTAAATAAAATGGCCTCCAGCAGCACCGTAAATTGTCAACGATTAAATACCATTACTTTATAGAGATACGCATGATTCGGTAATAAAAAGAAACCTTATTTAGCGTCTTACGTAGTCTGGGATTGATCTATAGCAGTTGACCTTGGTTGCCAAACGATTTGATTTGATGTAGCACTTAGTTACGTTATCAAAAAATCGGGTTTAATTTCATGCTTTTCATTAGATTGCAGGATGACTGCATTTCAGATTGTTACAGGTTTAAGGAAGACTAAACTTTGTGATAATTAGGTGACAAACAATCGAGAAAAAATTAGAGCAACATAATGACAGTGATTGACTCGATAAACATAACCTTACAGGTGGTAGTTTCAATTTCACCATTTAGCTTTTATCATTTGTTTTAATTGGGGGAAAGATTTCGAGTTACAGGAGGCTTCTCTGTTATTTTAATTTTATTGATGAATCATGACCACGGTGTGGCTGTGCCTTGTCTTCACTCCGGCGCCCATTAACCCAAACAGCATCGCTGCTGTTGTCTGACCGCACGCACGCACGCACGCACACACACACCAGCGATGGATCGATAAGAAACACAGCATCACCCACGAACGGCCCAGCGCGTGCGGAAAGCACTACTGCCAACGTTTGCCTCCGCTTTAGGCGAATGTCGCGTGATTGTTGGCTTAATCGTAATGCCCTGGTCGCCGTCTTCACAGGTAGTACATAGTATCATACAGAGACCCTATTTTGAGAATATGTGATAACACAAAAATCCACATGATAGGCGCCGAAGGCAACGAATTCCAGCAGTCTCGTTCAAAAAATAAAGAACCTAGTTAGTTTGGGCTCTAACGAAGAAATAAGGCACCCTAAAGATAACGCTTTGCTTGTTCATGACAAAATATTAGGGTTATTATATTAGGACTTGCAAATCCAACCACGGTTACCGTGCTACGACAGGGTAATGGCAATATTTTCAGCTGAATTCGGTAAGGGTTTTCGTGATTTACAAATCTAGTTTTCAAAGTTGCTGTCTGAATTAAAAATCGATTGTTTTGCTGCGGCAGAAATGCAAGTCCTCGAAGTTAAATGAGTTGTCCAATGGGAACGCTTGATCAGAATTATGGGCGTTTTAGTAATAATCTTGGTAACCTGATGGGATAATATTGAGTTTAGTGACTTTTATCGTTTGATTTTGGATTTTTTTAAAAAATACACTGGGCCCTGTGTGTTTGAATTATTCTCATGAGTACAAATTAAGGCGCGTACTGTGTTTAAAACAGGTCGCTAAATCAAATTGTCCAATGGGAATGGGCGATCTGTAAAAGAGGTGTTTCCGGCAATAGTCTTGGTAATTTATAACAAAAATATTCTCTTTAATGAGTATTTTTATCTTTTAAATTGAAATACGAATAAATACACTACTTCCCGTGTGTTTAAGTTATTGTCCAGAGGACCGGAGATTTGGGAATCAAGTGCGAGTTAGGTTGTGGTGTCTCAGAGACAAAAAAGTGATATTTTGCAAAACGGCTTCTCACACCTCTGACATGAATCACCTCATGCATTAGCGGACTTGATAGCCGCGGGCTTCTCGATGCTTCACTTAAACACATCAAAGCGCCAGAAGGTTGTGAAGTTTAAAACAAACACGCACACAACTATTACCGAAAGTCCGCCGTGGTCTGGGCGGAGGTTGATTGCCCGCCACTGCGACTCATCGTAGGCCAGGCGGCGCCACTGCTTGGAGACACGCGCTATCGTGCAGAGCTCTCGGTGCGTTAGGAAACTGAAAATGCGAAGCAGCAGCTTCTCCGGGAGCTTCGTTATCCGTAAATTACTGGTCTGAAATCAAAAGGAAAATGTTTTCACATCATCACTGAAATATGCGCGGCACTGGTTAAAAACAACGAGTCCACTGCCAAGGATGCTCGCTGGACGACGCCTAAGCGAAAAGAAGCATTTCCTCGTGTTTCAAAGTCTAAAGCATCCAGGAAACCGACTATTTTCATGATCGTTTAACGGCGATCCAACCTCCACGCACCTTTTTTCGGCTACTATTTTGCAACCAGGAATTTATAGCAGCCTCAAAACACATCATTGTTTTCCCATCATCATGCCATGACGGCTTTTCATCGAGGCAGCTTCGTTGTCAGAATCCTATTTGCTGTTTCCAAACGACACCCAATATATTTTTATCGTGGAAGTAGCTGAATCAAAGACAAGCTTTAGCGATGTGGATGTTGGCCAGAAACGGAATTGGGAGGTGCGACGTTTTTAAGTCATTGGGCAGTCGTAAAGACAGAAAAATAACCTTTTGAAGGCCATTAGTAGCTAGTAATCCCTATACTGCATGGTCCGAAATTAAAAAAATAGAAACAAGTCGTACCTTTTCGAAAAAATGACGCGAAAACCCAACATGGCGTTTATGTGCCTTTAAAACATTTGGAGTGAACGCACGGTAATCCATCAAGTTTAGGTTGCATATTGGCTGCCTCGTCAGAGCTGGATTCGCTGTGTAGATTTTTGCAATCAACAGTGTTTCAAGATCACCGTCTTAAAATTGTACCACCTATGGCATTTAAATTTTTAAAAAGGACCATTAATACCTGCACTCCTGTAAAAAAAATGAAATATTACTCCACAGGCAACTAAAAATTTTAATTTTTATTGTCAACACATTACTGTAGCAAGTAGGAAGATGGACTTGAAACCTGTGGAATTTTAGCTGTTAGCATTAACTTCAACAAAATTGCTCTTCGTGGGTAAAAACATCAGAAATAAGCAAGGACAAAGGTGACGCCAGCTGGCCTCAACTGTCCCGAGAATAATTTTCATCGATTCACACCCGTCTAAATACTACCATTCGGTATTTCTTAAAATTCTTCATAGCAGAGAGCTTCGTGGCTTATTCATTAATATATTCGAGTTTTTGTTTAATTTTTCCGAATTCCTGATCACGGTTTCAAGTCTGCGTGGCATTGTTTTTAAGGATTTGATTCATTCAAGCAAGCTACTAAAGGATTACTTAAAAGTACCACGTCGAGAACACTGCAACCCAGCTTCTATGGCAGGTTATCCGGGTTTGTTATATCCTTCTCGATTTACGATAAATTAATTTATTGCAAAATCGTCTGAATTAATACCTGTTCGAGAGGTAATCTCCTCAGAGCAACTCTCATGAGAGGAACGATCAGGTTATTAGCATTTCTGCATTCGGACTTCTGTACGGTTTTGCATGAACTGCGCTTGTTATTTTTCTTGATACTCCCATTACGGAACGCTTTTTTTAACACGAGCCTCCGTGGATTCTAGCCAGTATTTAATTATAATGGGGTCAGAAAAGCCACAAGAAATGACCTAAGTGAATTCAGTTTCAGGTTTAACTGAAATCATGCGGGTAACACGAGTCTTTCATGCAGTAAACATACAAAATCAAACGATGTTTTCCATGAGGCGTTTATAGATTAACTCAACCCATCTGACTTGACTCCTAACACCTGCATTGAAGATATCTTCCAAACTAACAGAGATATCGATGAATACTAAGAACACGATCATACTCGCAGCCGCCTCGACTTGCGTGTTGCTATTACTAAGAATGAAACTTTCTATCGAAGCTTTATGGGGCCAATCAACTCAATTTCCATTTGCAAAAGTTGATTGCGATGCGTCACGTTCCTATTGGCTCAACCTGAGGTATTTAAGCCAATAGGAACTTTTAAACACTCATAACCATCGACATGAGCTGATGGATTTTTGTGATAGCTGGACTCCCCATGTATGTTGCACATTAAATTAAAACAAGTACACTCAACCCAATGGAACAGCATAAAAAGTGTCACAGAAAGTATGCCGACTAATAGTTCGGATATGGATTTAATTTTAACCGATTAAACCCTCATTTTTCACCAGCTTTGAATACATATTTCGCAGTCGTCCTTGAAAATCAATCGTTGATGGAGAACTCGATTTTTATGAAGGGAACATAGCATCCCTTTTCTTGTCATCGCGACTACAAGGACGGCTGTGTCGCTCATTTGAACAAATCAACAATATACTAAGGAGTAACGAAAAGCAATTTTCGTGCTTTGTTCGGAAACGCATCCGGATTCCACAAATTCTGCTCCTTCCAACATGGCCTAATTACCAAGCCCTTCCATGACCTTATCGACCATCCCCGTGGAAGAAGCCTCGACGTTTCATTTAATGTGCTGGTGCCTTCGGACTTGTATCCGCATTCTGCGCATTAAAAAATTAATTACAAAATGCATACGTTGACGGAGAACTGTATCGACAATTTTAACCCACGCCATTTGGTTATCAGGGTAAAGGAGCGTTGCTTAGTTTGGTGCAAGGATGGAAATCGGAAGGGGGCTGGTTTAACCCGGGGAATGCAAAAGTATCTGCACCATCTGGAACAGATGGTCCATATGTTACTTGGCGTAGCTAATTAGTTACATGATATGGTGTGCATGTGGCTCTAGTTTTATTAACTACAGACTCATGGCGTTGAACATCCAATCGAGGATTAGAGGTCGGAAGACTTAAACCCCAGTTTAATAGGTTAACGAAATATCCTCCTGCTTTCCCATAAAATTACACCTTACTCGAAATCAATGCATCGCATGGTACCATGGTTTGATATTCATTTCCAGCTGGAGACAAACCCTTAAGATAACACTCGCCAATCGATTTCGGTCCTAACCTAAGATTGTCAGCCACACAATACGACAGGGAGATTTCTCTCTAGATGGAATGTACGCTTTGAAAAATGCCACAGGAAGGGAGCCCGGAATCAAGCATTTAGTGAAAAGCGAATCAGCATGCAGTAGAAGGGCCTACCAAATCAAATCGACCGACTGAATACCTCCGCTTTAAGCCTTGTGCAACGTCGATGAAGGAATTCCTCCTTCCCAGCATCGTCAACGGTCCTATGAGCTAAACCACGGCAACAGGTGCCCTCTTTGTCACTCTGTGCAACACATCGATGCTTTGCTGTGGCCCGCTATTGCAGTAGTCCCCAGTTGAGCCAATCAGATTGATGGATGAGAGGGCGCGCACCGGCGCAGCACAATGATTCAGGCTGCAATCCACGTGTGCTGGATAACGATTAAATTAACTAAAATGACTAGTGTGCCGCCACTCTGCGATTCGGGTTCCGTCCTCAAGTGATTCAAGTTGTCCTTTTTTGAAAACTCAGTTGATAAAGCGACAGCACCCTTTCGTTTTCACGGTTTAAAGGCATGCTAAATCGGAAGTCATGTATTTGATGGATAAAAGTTTGTGAGAGGAAGAAAAAGTACCGTTGACGCAAACCCTGACACTCAATCTCCACATGAAACGTGAAAAGTAATGGCGACGGTGGTTCCAAGGTCGAGGAAGACCCGCTGATTGATCAGTTTAGAGGGAGTCAATTTTAATTCTCGAGCAAATAACTTTAAGAGGGTTGGTAAATGCCTCCAACGATCGCTCGGAATTTCATTTTTAGTATGGCTTCCTTCTCTTAGTAATATTAATAATGGCAATATCACCATTGCCATTGATTTCACTTTGAGCATTAAGGGGAGAGAGCTAGTGTTTTTGTTAAATTTTATGAGTTTGTTGAGGAAATTGTTTAAAGTTTGAAGCAGTTTCCAGGCAAACACACCGAGGTGGTTGAGGACTCAAGCCCAAACCTCTACCTATGTCTCGGATAGCTTCCACTTCAGACGCTGAACCTCATGTATCTGGATTCAGGATGGATAACGATTAAATTATCTGAGATGGCTAGTGTGACCGACCTTTTTGTCAAAATATGTTGGTATTTTACCGCTGGCATTGCACAACATAGTTTTAATGCCTTTTGAATTCCACTTTAGACAAATCATAACTTTTGGAACACCTTGATTGAGAACTCAAGGTCCAAAATCGAACCAGCCAGTAACATTCATAGTTACGCCAAAATTTAAAAAATTTGTAAAGCATACCTACTTACAAACTGTTTTGAGACACTAGACGACATACCTAAAGGCATTTTTTGATAGTTTTAATTGACCTATGAAGGACTTGAGGGGGTCAACTCCTTCTCCAAGCAAGTAAATTAAAACAAGCTGACTTGTGACGGCGATCCAGTCAGCTCTCTTCATTTGCTTACAACTCTGCTAGCACGCCACATCGTTTTTCACACTAGCAACCCACATATCACTGCTATTTCCTCAAACCACTGATCTCAGATCGCCCAGAGATAGATAAGTGGGTACAGGTGAGCATCTACAAGACTTCTGCTTTGACGCCACTTTGTACTCAAACTCCTGGTTCATACAGTAAAGCCCTATACACAAGCCATTGTCTTCTCTTATTCTGGAAAGCCTTTGACGAGCCAAACAAAGAGTTCCAAATATCAGCACGGGGATTCGCATCAGCATAATGGGACAAACGCGTCAGATAGATAGCCTCAACTACAATTTAACTGAATCGAAATTTCTCTAAATTATGTAATGTTGACTCCATATTGCGCTCAATTCTGCCCTAGTTGAGACCAAGCATGCGTTTGACGATTAAGGAGTAGATAATTAACTAAGCGAATGGCGTGAAAACTAACCACGATTCAGATATGGTAGATTAGAGCTTTTAAAGACATTTTAGAAAAATACAAGATGAGGGAGAGAGAGAGAGTTAGGTGTGAGGTAGCACACGTGGACTCACCAATTTACTGGACCTCCTCTCATCCCCCCCACGGGTGGAGAACCTTCGCACGGTTTCAGCCACGTCGAGAATGCTGTACATCCCGCCTGCAGCCCACTTAACTCGCCAATATCCAAGGCAAGGTTGATCTTAACTATTAACAAGCAACGCCAGGGCCAATCAAGTTCTAATGGGTGATGCGGCTTCCAGCGAAGCCATTCGACGTTGCGAGGGCTTGGGAGTGAAATGGGGTGGGAGCGGGGGGCGGGTTGAGGGGTGGGGCACAGTGCCCGAAGGCAGATCAACAATAATTTCCTTGTACCTTTTGACAAGAATGCAGGATTTATAAAAGCTCAGCTAAGTTAATTTATTACTAGAACAAAGTGATTTAGGCAAGACCGCTTTTTCACCAAGCCGGCGTCGGCGAAGTAGGGAAAAACAGAGGAGGAACGCGACTTGCTGGCGCCTTTTGCAGCCTCCTAGTGTAAACGCTATTGCCAGGAATAAAATTTACTGATTTGGTCGGGAGTGAATAGTGATAATTGTGAATGGTTCAGCCTCCAACGTGGTGGATGCTATGAACTATTGAATCATTAAAGTGCCGACGCATCAACTCGTAACTCTCGCATTGTAGGAGCATCACGTCTCACCTACACATTTGCGAAACCAAACTCTTCAAGTATGTACAACACGGACCGATGTCTAGGGAGAGAGTATGAAAACTACTCAAACTCCATAGGACAAGGAGATACTCTCGGTAAATGTGTTGAGGTTACAGCCCAGTCACGGGATTAGATTACAATCACATTCTTTGTAGTTATCCCTCATTCGCAGAAAACACAAATAGAGTTATTGTGTCTATGAGCTTGTAGTGGACTGACAGCCGCCCCGCGCGAGTGTGCGTGCATGAAGGCCCGTGTGTAGCGATGACTCATCCCCTTTTGTTATTGATTTTTGTCAGCATTCGCCTGTTACGCACGCGTACTCATACGCCGACAAAGTCACTTGGTTGTTTTGACATCAATAAACCAGTCGTGTCCGCTCTCGCCTCTTCTCCATTCTACTCGAGTTGTCTTGGGCTGTTAATTAGAGGGTTGTAAGGTAGTGCTAAGATCAAGCTACTACAAGCTTATATAAGAATCGGAGAAATGCATGTAAAAACCAAAAAGTGATTCAGGTGAAGGCAATGCGGTGTCCTATAGTAGGTTTCCATGGAATAAATTTTGAATCATGCTCCGTGATAGCTGTGATATACAATAAGCTTAAAAGTACAGGTGAGTGTTGACGTTTGTGGAATCGATTTGGAATTTGGTGGAAGAATGCCTTATTAAACAAACTGTTTTGAAATGTGTTGCTTCTGAGGCAGCTATGCATAAGTTAGTTAGAAGCACGACGAAGTAACTATCCGCGAATTAGAAGCGAATTGTCAATACTTTAAGTCATGCGGAAATTTGATCTAAATCGCTAATGTTTTAGCTTTTATATATGCATTCGAAAACGAGGATCTTTGGGGAACTCTAGAGCTTTAAATGACCTGCATTCCTATCGAATCAATATTCATGAACACATTTTATTTGTCCTGAATATAACCTGCAAACATTCTCAAAACCTCATTCCTTCGAAAGACCTCAGTAAGCCCACTTGACCCATGTATCGGTAAAAGTATTTCCGGGGTTTCGGAGTCATAGTACACGAAAACCACCCACAAGTCCTTAATTTAAAGCTTTTATTTTTCTGATTGAACCTACCAATGAAAATCAACCGATTAACTAAACACGAACTTCATTCAAGTTAAAACAAATGGAAAATTTAAAGGGCAGCTTCCGACAGTTTTGGGGCTTTCTGGTGTTAGTTACTTTGCTCACATACGGCACAGTAAGCACTCCCTAGGATAAGATAGCTTCTATAATCTGTGGTGCACCTCACTATATCAATATTTACAAAAAAGACCAATTGAAAATGAATTAAATCGGTGTGCATGAATTTCGGCCCAGGAAGTGTTGTGGATTTTTTTACTTTTGCTACAATCATTAAGTTAGTCTACATTTATTCTGTGAAAGATAAAAATCAAGGACGCACGAGCTCGAATAGTGACTAAAATCCTTATGCGGCTTCTCAGTTGATAATCAGAAGGTTTGCACCAAGTCAAATCGACTCCTCAAGGCTTCGGATCACGAAATTAGACAGTTGAAAAGCCAGCAAGGGTTGAACTAGCACAAACAATGCGATTTCAAATAAAAGCAACTAGACCGCGAATAGACTTTGCCAGTGATAGGGCTTCAAAACTCACCACTCCCGTAAACCTGCATGGTGGAAAGGATTCATCACGAAGGTTTTCAGTAACATCCACAAGTGTTAGGGCGCCACGTGCTTCGGGCATTACAGTTCCACCGCACAACTGCCGGGACGCACGTAGCAAAGCCCACGGCTTCATTAGCGTTGCCCCTACATTAGGGACCAATGGTGTTCAGAATGGTCGCAGATTGTTTTATAATTTGTGTGTGTGTGGGTGCGTGTGTGTGGGTGCTTAGGGAACAAAAAGGCCATGGGATTATCGATTCGACAACTTCCGCCACCACGACCACGGTTACTGATGTTTGTGTGAGCACGAAAGATACTTCTAGAGCAGTGTTTGTCAGATTATAAATTAAAATTGACATTTTCGTCAGTTTAGTACCACCGATGCACACTAGACAGTTCAAGGAACGATGGAGGGACTCGGATTGCCGGTAGAATCGCAGACGAGTGGGAATGAAATAAACCGTTGGCGAGGCAACGTTTACAGCCAACGCTCACACTGTGCTCTTAACCATAGCGACCCGCCAACATCAACTAGCTTCATATTTAAGACTTATTTGGCTACCATTTAAACAATGACTTCTCTGAAAGTGCGTAACAAATAGGGCTTCATTAAATATGCCATTTTTGATGCCTGGGTAATACTAAAGACATTGGGTTTCATTGAGAGGAAAATAAAATTTCGGGCGGCCTTATTAGCGGACCTGTTGTCACGCCTGGTTGTCGAAAAATTGCATTCATTCATCCCCAGCAGTTGGCCAAAGCACATACCTCTGGCTGACATGAAATGACGAGCCCATTTGTAATGCTGAAATCAGCATTTTAACATAAACACGGGCAGCTGTTTTAATCCTGACAGGTCCAGAGCCTGTTCCCCTGATAACAAACTACTCGCACCCCCTTTATAGACAAAGTCGTGGAAAACAGGAACTCTCGGAAGCATTTGCTGGTATCTACTGTCAAATCTAGTTATCCGCATTCGGCAAAACGCATGCATAATGGGTTACTGGACAAGAACGCTGAGCCCATTGAAGGTAAAATGCACATCGGAGTTGACCTACTTGATCTTTGGCCCACTTCCTCTGAGCTCTGACCGTGGACTGTCTGCGGACGCGTTGTGCGAGCTCGAACTGCTTATTCCGTCCAGGCTGCATGCTACCGTCCCGTTTGAAGTCTCCTTCAAGTGGGCATAAGTGTGTGATTGTGCTTGTGCTTTGCTGACCAGATGCTACATATGCATACACTCGGTGAACGATTTGGGGTCATTCGGGGACGCTAACTGCCAAGACCAATCAAATGCCTCTGTCCCGAATCTAAACCAGATCCTAGCTTTTCAGCTGGCTAGACGCGCAATTGACTTAGGCATCGCAGTGGGATTGCGTCTAAATGATCACGTTTGCCGTTTGTGGGTTTGAATTTACAGGCCCCTGGCGTTCTGTGAGATCCACTAAACACGCCTACTTCCCAGGTGTGGGAACCAATGGGCGTTATTGGAGCCTTACGCGAGATTTTCATGCCTCAAATTATTGATTTAATCTTCACGTTTTACCTAACTCTTAGAGTTGGTATTGACCTATTGATCTGTTGACTAACGGCATTCTAAATCGAGGCGAATTGGCCCATTTATAATCCAGACTATTTAAAGATGAACATGATTCGTCTTAAATTCGTTTGAGGTTAAATTTTGGAATTAACCTGAATTAGAAAATGTCCACTAAAAGAAAAAACACAACTATTTTGTCATCGAAAACTTCGCTCGAAGTTTCTGCTAATCTTTTCAGAACAAAAGTAGACAAAATATTCACAAAGTTATTTCATAATGATGCACAGAACGCCGGAAAGCAACCAGTTCAGACTGAAAATTCCTACACAAAAAAACAAACCGAAGAAGGGAGTTTGTTTAGGAAAAATTCTCTTAGGCAAAGCTCTAATGGGTCGCCAAGAGAACAATTTTGCTTTTACACGAAATGTTTTTTTTTGTTAGAAATGTTGGATTTTTTTCTTCTTGTCACTTATATGTTACTAGAAGAGTAATTTGAGCACAATTTCGATTCCAAAAAGGACGATAATGGAAGTGCCTGGTGGTGACCGCTTTATCAAGCATATTGACCAGAAAGTTTTTAGTCCAGGTTAAGCGACAATCTAGTCGCTCTCGTGAGGTTGAAAAATACTGAATCGAAGCCAAAGCTTAACATTTAGCAACTGTTGGAATATTTTTAGAGCCATTACCACACGCCATCACCAACTACCACTCAGCCGTAAATAGAGGAAATTACCTTGTCTGGACCATCACGTAAAGTGATTTTATGGCGCCAGTTTTAAATCTGCCCAATGGACCGTGAACACTGTTCGGGGCAGAAGTGAACGAAGGTGTCGGATTTACTTCAAGTACAATGCATTTAAACAAATGAACACAAGCACCTGTTTTTCTCAAGCAATCCAATGAGTAGACAGTTTTATGTTAAATACCAGATTGATAGCCTCTTCACGGCTTTGTGTGTCCTGCCACACTAACTAATTCCCGTGAAATTTACTCACAAGTAGCGTTAATTACTGTTTTGAGCGGACTGTTGAGCGAGAAATAGTGAACCAGTTAGAAAAAAACTACAATTTTTGAGTGAAAAACCTCTCAGTGTTTTAAACAACTAATTAACTTCACACAACTACGCAATTTCATTGCACTTGCTATTAGGCTCCTTAAAACCCGAGAAAAAAGGTATTGCTGAGAATTCGCCACTTCAAGGTGGACACATAACTGTTGATTTACGGCTGGCCACTTTGTGTTCGTGAACTTGTGCATGTTT